AAAAACTTCATTAAAAAATGTCTAGCACTGTATGCTCATTACACATGAAGGCGTGGACAAATGTCCTTTTACCATTCACCTGATGCACACTTACCAATGTACTTACAAACCCGGAACACGGCTGACGAAAATGGTAGCAATGAACCTTTATCTTATCGGTTTGCTGACAGGAGACTTTCCAAACATTCATTTTACAATATGATAACAGACAGTGTTCTACTGAGAGCTGTATCGTTTCACTGTCTAGGTCGTTCTGTCTGACGTCGCCAACAGTGAACATCACACTATCAGGAAGATACCTGTTGTGGTGGTATGTTGCACTGGTTTCAGAATCTTATTATAAAATTGCATTTGTTTCTTCCTCTTCGTCTTCACCGCTTGTAAACTAATGAGGAAAGTTCTAGTGGTTCATCCACTTCTGGACTTTGGTCTCAGTCTAGATTTTGAGTTTTGCGTGCACATCCAGTGTACAAATCTGGCTTATTTGTATGCAGACTATTGTTTCCTCGCCTCTTAGGCAGATGTACTCCAACATCGTAGGAAACACCATAATCAGTCGCCTTGTAAGACATGCTTGTTAAGGCTAATGGTTATATTCTTTTTCCCCAAAATGGTGCCACGGAGGCCACACCATAAACATAGTACTGACAAGATAGACAAAGCTACTTCCTGAATGCGATAATCTGACGTGGTGTTATCGTACAATGTAATTAATTGTAGTGGTGACCTAGTTACAACAAAGGCACACCAAAAATATTTATGGATTCAATTCCAGCAGTGGTTGGTTTTTAATTATTTTTCAAAAGAAGGTTTGTAGGGTCGATCCAGACTCGCAAGTTGAATATTGAATACTAAATAGAGGAAATATGGAGTTAGTTAGTTAGTTAGTTAGTTGTTTAGGTTGTTGGTAAGTCTAGCTAGTTAGTTTAGTTAGTTATTTTTTTAGTTAATTAGTTAGTTAACTAGTTAGTTATTTTAGTTAGTTGGCAAGTCAGTCAGTCAGTTAGTTAGTTAGTTAGTCAGTCCGTTTGTTAATTGGTTAGTCAGTTAGTTAGCAAGCTAGTTAGTTAGTTAGTCAGTCAGTTTGTTAATTAGTTAGTGATTTAGTTAGTCAGTTAGTTAGCTAGTTAGTTAGTTAGTTAGTTAATTAGTTAGTTAGTAAGTTAGCTAGCTAAATTAACAAACTGACTGACTAACTAACTAACTAACTAGCTTGCTAACTAACTGACTAACCAATTAACAAACGAGATAATTGTGGCCGGTGGAGTAAGCGAGGGAAAGCCTGAGCTAGCCTGGTGATCAGTTGATCATCAGAAGTCGTAGAAGTCGGTTGTATTAATAGAAGATGTAGTCTAATGTCGTACGAGTGACCAGTAATTGAATATGTCGAGAGCTATAGAAGTGTAAATAATTGTTGAAGCATGAGGAATAAATGTAACTGAATAAACTGATAGTATGTATAAGAAAGCCGAGTGGAGTTTGTGTTATCAACTCTAGCCGTTCGAGCAGTGTAAGTTATGTTGTAGTAATTATAGAGAGTGAACCATGGCGAAAGCAGATATGTTGTAAGACAAGGTGCATGACGAGTGACGTCGGCCTAACCAAGATTCATTCCAGTCAGCCTTTGCCTCCTTGTGCGGAAACTACACTCCATCACCGTTTTCTCCAGCCCGCCATGATGTCATCTATTAATTCTATGGAAATTGCCTGGTTACCGCTCAAAGTGCCACAATAACGGATTATCTACACAAGATATACAAAAAATGATGGTAATCAAAGAATTAAATGACCAACCTTCAGATCCAACAAAATACAGCTGAGAAACGCACATGAACAAAGTCAAGTGTAACACATAACTAACAAGGGACATGTTTGCTGTTTGACAGCTAGCTAGCTAGTTAGTTAGTTAGTTAGTTAGTTAGTTAGTTAGTTAGTTAGTTAGTTAGTTAGTTAGTTAGTTAGCTAGTTAGTGAGTGAGTGAGTGAGTGAGTGAGTGAGTGAGTGAGTGAGTGAGTGAGTGAGTGAGTGAGTTAGCTAGCTAGCCTTTTCAACAAAGTCAAGTGTAACACATAACTAACAAGGGACATGTTTGCTGTTTGACAGCTAGCTAGCTAGTTAGTTAGTTAGTTAGTTAGTTAGTTAGTTAGTTAGTTAGTTAGTTAGTTAGTTAGTTAGTTAGCTAGTTAGTGAGTGAGTGAGTGAGTGAGTGAGTGAGTGAGTGAGTGAGTTAGCTAGCTAGCCTTTTCTTTCCAGTTGGAAACACCAAGTGTTTGCAGGTCTGTCTGGATATTATCTCTCCATCGTCTTCTTGGTCTCCCTCGTAGTCTACGACCATTCATCTCCTTGGTGTATACAGTTTTTACTTTTCTGTCCTCTGACATTCTCCTGTCTCGTGAACTCTGTATCTGGTACATATTTGTCCATGCCATGACGCCATCCGGTGTACACAAGCTGTATACGCAAGCTGTGTACACAAGCTGTGTACAGGCAGACCTACAAACACTGGGTGTAGCCAAATGGAAAGAGAAGCCCAACCAGACATTTGAATGGAGGCGGGTGGTATCTTCAGCAATGAACCTCAAGGGCTAGGAAGGCTTAAGAAAAAAAAAAAATAAAGAATTACATGGACAGCTGTGGAAATCAATAGTTATATGGTGGTAATAATTTGGTCACATCCTTCATGAGCAGCGAAAAGAGAATCGCTAAACAGATAGTTACAAAAGGGGACATCGGGCTAAGAAAACAATTAGGTTCAAAGGAAACGGTTAAAAAAAAAAAAGGTTGATACGAGAGGACTGTCGTGCCGAACTGGATTCTATCCATGATTTTCAAATGATTGTACAAGATTTAATGGAATGGAAGAATGAACTGTAAGCGCGATCTCTCTTATCTCTTTCTCATCTCTTTTATGTGAACTAGCGTCACTGCACACAGTTATAAACCATAAGGGCTCTGCCACCAGTAAGGACAGCTGATAAGAAACTGTCCGCATGTGTCGCCGTCTGCACGCAACTCCGTAGCTACAGCGACGTTCCTCCATTCACCCCAAAGTGTTAACTCTGGTACCCATTACCTAGAGGCTGGGCGAACCCCGGGAACAGCACGGTTTCGAACACCGGCTGTTGGCTACAGCGATTCGCTAACGCGCAAGCGCTATATGATTTATCGTGGCACAGTAAGATAATGCATTTGATATTGTGAACTTCTTCTGCCCAGTTCTTCTGTAACGTTGATCTGTTTTAGCGTAATTGAAACTGACTCAAAGAGCCTGTTGAGAAAGGCAGAGATAGTGTACTCCGCACAGAGTGACTAGCATCGCTTGAGACATCTCTGGTTGTAAGCGTTTTTGAGATATTTTACACAGGGATGCCGGTGTGGTTGGAAAGAATCAAGCCGATAGACTACCAGGCTGGTCTGTGCCATACGGAAGTTAGTTAAAGCCGGACAAGCCAGATTTCGTAAGATATCAAAGGATACTGGTGCTACAAGGAGTGACCAAGTAATCTGGCCGACCCTAAACACTGAAGGGAAAGGCGGGATATACAATCAGACTATAACTGGTAGCAACGGAATTAGAACTACTGCTAAAGATGGGAATGGAACGCTTACGCTAATTCAATATATATATTTTTTTTTATTTACATAATTATTTTTATAACTCATCCCATTTTAAAAGTTTCACTGCTTGTTGCTTGTAATGTTCAAAACTTTTCATTATAAATTGTTAAATAACAACTGTCTGTGACTTAAAGTCGTTTAGATATCAATGCAGGATTTTTGCAGGCGTGAAATTTAACGTGTAGGATTGATTTTTTCATTCTTTATCCTGTCGTGTCATTATGTATGTCACGTAGGTCTCGCTGTCTGTTTCTCCATTCTGTTCTGTCCCGCGCAATCACTTGGGTATCATGGATGAAATCCAGTCCAGTAAAGTTTGATTCAGCGTTTTTATTGGCCTTCATTGTTTCCTCAATCCATCTAACGTGTAAAATGGTTCAAGCAAGAAGTAATTTGTTCACACCAAAAACAAACAAAAAATAATAAATAAAGAGACAGCGGCGTAAGAAGAACATTGATAAAAGAGGACTGTGGTGCCAGACTTGATTCTATCCATGATTTTCAAACAATTGTACAGGATATAATAGAAAGGAAAAAATAAACTGCAAGCGGTGTAATTGTCAGTTGAGACCAGAAAGAGAGTGATATTTAGCCGGTCAGATCATTGGAATTGAATCATGTCAGCCGTTTAGTGAACCACCAATATGAAAGCTGCAGAGATATGGTTTTATAAACGCAGATCAATATAAAAAAAAAAAATGACATGCCTTAAAAGAAATTAATTTGCAAAGAGAACAGATTAGCTGATACAGGTTATAGTCTAAATTCTGTGGTCATATCATGAGAGGGAGACAAGAGGTGGCACATCGTAAAACGGGAAAGGTAGACTGTGTGGATGGGTTTAGGGGTGGGGGGGGGGGTGGAAGAAAGGCGGAGATAGACCACTAGAGACAGTGCAGGAACATTTGATATAATGGGCTGGAGGATTCTCTGTATCAGAAATGAACAAAGTGGAACTAGCAGATAAAAAATACCAATGCTTTCCTGCAGTGACTAAAAGTAGAAGAATAATTCAAAATACTCAAAAATCGGAATTCACAAGGTTAAACGAATTCCTATGCAATCGTATATGGCTGGATAGAGTAAAAGCAGAATGATAACAATGTTGTCAAGGGAAAGACATCCTGTATGTCTAGATTAAGTTCACCGAACTGTCGCCAACAACATCCGTCATTTATAAGGACTCCTATCATTTCTTGTCTATTCAGCAGATAAGACCGAGTGTTTGATATTCAATTTTACCGCAAACCGTAACATCCGTCATTTATAAGGACTCTTATCATTTCTTGTCTATTTAGCAGATATGAATGGGTGGTTGATATTCAATTTTAACCGCAGACCGTAACATCGTCAGTAACAGTCACTTCTGTCAAACAGCAAACATGTCCCTTGTTAGTTATGTGTTACACTTGACTTTGTTCATGTGCGTTTCTCAGCTGTATTTTGTTGGATCTGAAGGTTGGTCATTTAATTCTTTGATTACCATCATTTTTTGTATATCTTGTGTAGATAATCCGTTATTGTGGCACTTTGAGCGGTAACCAGGCAACTTCCATAGAATTAATAGATGACATCATGGCGGGCTGGAGAAAACGGTGATGGAGTGTAGTTTCCGCACAAGGAGGCAAAGGCTGACTGGAATGAATCTTGGTTAGGCCGACGTCACTCGTCATGCACCTTGTCTTACAACATATCTGCTTTCGCCATGGTTCACTCTCTATAATTACTACAACATAACTTACACTGTTCGAATGGCTAGAGTTGATAACACAAACTCCACTCGGCTTTCTAATACATACTATCAGTTTATTCAGTTACATTTATTCCTCATGCTTCAACAATTATTTACACTTCTATAGCTCTCGACATATTCAATTACTGGTCACTCGTACGACATTAGACTACATCTTCTATTAATACAACCGACTTCTACGACTTCTGATGATCAACTGATCACCAGGCTAGCTCAGGCTTTCCCTCGCTTACTCCACCGGCCACAATTATCTCGTGCCGTCACTTGTAGCACGGACTTTCTGCTTGCCACAACGTACTTGTGGAGATCATGCAAAGCAGGGTCATCACACTGACATCCGCCAATGTGGATACAAGGCTAGGAAAGCTCATAGGGCTGAAGAAATGGACAGAGAAAGAGAGACTTGTAGGTGAGCCAGGATGAGAGCAACGTTCTGTAAAGGACCTGCTTACTGATGATGTAGAGATGAGAGATGCTGGCGTTGGATAGGTCGCAAAAGGAGAAGACCTGATAACAATATAAATAAAATATTCTTGCAGTAAAAACTAAAGGGGCGTATGCTTAATAGCAGAACTAACAGAACATTGAGAAGAATCAGAAAATATACACACAAGCACGCACACAAACAGACACACACACACACTCACAGCACAGTCAAACTGTATTTATATGACGTCTGTGGCTTAGGGGTTGTAAGCGAATTGGAGGTTTTGAACTTTAAGGTAACTGGAAAAGTTGTACAGAACATGGGCCAAGAATGTGAATATTACTGACTGTCCTCGGGATCTGAAGACAGATGAGTTTTGGGGACTCGTGGACAGTGTCAGTTTTTGTAAAATGAGTTACTTTAGTCAGATAAAATGGCAAACTGATTTAGAGGGAAGAGTGACGGAAGCTATGTTCCTTGATGAAGAGGTAGAAGTCGACCCAGCTGGACAGTAGACATGAAATATCATGGACACCGAGAAGCTGTCAAACCTTTTGCCTCAAGCTCTGAAGATCGCCGGTTTGTTTCATAGCTGTGATGTCTGGTTTACGAGTGTAATTTTTACGTAATTCCGTGTAGGTCACCGCAAAAGCTATGGAGTTCTTGCTTTGTGTGGCTAGCCATTAGGCTGAGTCAGACCTAGCTATATGGGAGGGAGGGGTGTGGGGGGGGGGGGGGGAACCACCTGTTTAACGAAGTCGATCTTCTGGATTTTTAACTTCAAATTTACCAAGGACACATTAGACATGAAAGTTCATGAGGCAGAAACGTTGACTAAGTTGCTTCCCGGTGTGGAGTGATGATTCCTAACAATTCCCGCCCAAGTGTTGTGATTAACAATCCAGTTGGCTCGTGTTGAAAGACAAAAAAGTACATGGGGGGGGGGGGGGGAGAGAGATTGCAAAAGAAAATGGACATCGTTTAGTGCAGTAAAGCCTGGCGTATTATACCACAACATTCAGTTTGAGAGTGGGGACAGTTACGGCATATTTCCTCATGCTTGACTAGAGCAGCCCTCTACAAAGGATCTTATTTATGATATATATATATATATATATATATATATATATATATATATATATATATATATATATATATATATATATATGATGTGCAATTTGTTGAAACCAATTTTCTTCATTTTTAACCAGCCGAATGCATCAAAGGACAACTAGACATCCTATTCTTGTTTGATTCCTCTTCTACTGTCGGCTCTATCGACTTCACTCACAGCCTTCAGTTTGCTAGCAACCTGGCAGAGAATTTCCAAATCGGCTCAGACGGCGTGCAGTTCGGGGCGGTATCATTTTCTGACAGCCCTAGACCTTTGTTCAGTCTGAATACTTACACGGATTTTCACGATATTGAAAAAGTAAGGAGACGTTAAACGTATAGCAAATACTTTGAGCAAGTAGCTAACATTTACTTAAAGTAAAATCTACTTTTAACTAAACTAGCTTAGTTTTCATAAGATTAACAGATCGCGATCAAATGATCAGCTATGCGAAGGAATAGACTCATAAATATGTTGATGACTGGCCAGATAGATGAAAAAAAAGCAAAGAGATAAATACTTAGATGGTTTGGTCATGTGATGAGGCTAGAAAGAACATCGACATGGTCCATGATTTTGATAATCGTATGAGATGGCGCATCGTAACAGCATATGCCTATTGGCACGGCACATAATGATGCTAGTGATGTGGTATTAGATACATTCTCATCAAAAGAGAGCATACCTTTTGCAGAAAATTATTCTCATCCTGGACTCTCATTCTTAGACAGTTTCCTCCCCCATTCTATTGCCATGCTCAGGATGTCTGTCTTATTGAATAAAAACACCTTCGTAGCAGCGATGAAGTCCTAAATGTATTTTAGAATCGCACAGGCATTAGGATTCTTTCATTTGTTCATTGTCTATTCATTTAAAATGCCATTTCTCATACGTGTCTTTCCAGTATGGGTTCCGGGGCTCCATTTTTTTAGATTGAGAATACATCCACTACTCACCCACATACCCCCCCCCCCCTTCCACCCCAGGATGTCGTAAAAGACGCCATGACGTCATACTATGATGTTTTCTTTAGGTCGGAGGGCATCTCTCCAACAGGCGAGGAACCAACGGTCTGCATACAAATGAATTAGATGTTTATCATGAATGTGGGCGCAAAACTCCAGCTCAGGAACGAGACCAGAAGTGGATGAACAACGAGACCTTTCCATCGTAATTTACAGCCTCTAAAGAAGAAGATACACGCCATTATTTGTTCTCGAATGATGTAGCTACGCATCTGTCCTTTGCTGAAGGCAAATCATCCTTGAATTCCTTCGGCTGCTGCTGCTCTTTATCTGGTATTGAAGCATATGCCCTCAACCAAGTCACTTCAATCCATCCCATTTGATATCTCCTAGGTACATGTCCTCTCCATAGTATTCATTTATTTCTGTTCTCCGAAAATTATAAAATCTTAATCTTTGGTTTGTCTCTTGTTTCTTATTGTGTGTATATCAATATTAGGTGGCTGCAATTGCACGTTACATACACATTTTTTTTCTGTTCAGGCTATACTGGATGCACAGTACTTCTCTGGAAACACAAGAACCTACCTCGCTCTGGAAAATGCTCACAACTTCCAAACCAACGGTGGCCGAACTAGTGCTCCAAAAGTAGTGGTTTTATTCACTAATGGAAGGTCTGATGATGCTACCAGAACACAGCAGCAGGCACTGAGCTTAAAAGCCACGGGCGTGTTTGTCGTTGTTGTGGGTTTGTCTAACTCAAACAACCAGGAGCTTCAAGCCATAGCTTCGAATTCATCGACCATCTTCAGTATAAACAATTTCGACGAAGTTGTCAAATTTCTTCAGGACTATATCCGTGATTCTTGTAGTCAGACAGGTAAAACTATTAATGTCTAACGTTGCTTTATTACGGTGTTCAGTTGTCGTAACCATTGTTGCCACTTTTCTTTGACAAAAAACATCCAAAACGGTGTCAACAAATATCTAAAAACATCTAAATTTGCATGAGAAACATCTAGAAAAAAAGTCCAAATGAAAAGAGTCACAAAATACATAGCAATTGATATGACTTACCCTATAGAATCATGTCCTCATCTTTACTGAAGTTTGCCTCACACGATCCACAGGATAAACTTAGCTTGGATGATGAAGTTGAAGCTTCAGATCCAAAATGACTCTGGTATGCTTTAGCTATTCCAATTTCTTTTAATACCCAATCAGGGAGCTGATAACTTGAACAACCTTTTCCTACACTTATCAGGCCGAATTTTATTGTAAAGACAGCATTTAGGAGGTCAAATTTCATCCTGTTTCTTAGGATAGATTTGATAAATTCACTACCAATAAAAAGTATCTAGAAAGACATCTACCATCTAAACGTCAAAAACGCCATCTAAACGCAAGGAAAAACATATAAATTTGGATGTAAAACATCGAAAGTGGCAACACTGGTCGTAACATGTCTATGAATCGTACTACTGACATGCGAGTTCATGGAGGCAACCCATCTGATGGTCTGATCTGAGCATACGAAATCGAACATGGGAAAAAAAAAAAAGAATAATGTCAATGCGGTGTTGCTGCATTCGCAACTGCGCCGGAACGATTCGGGTTACGCAACTTGAGCCCCGCCCCCCCCCCCACCACCCTTTTCTCCCCTTTTCTAAATTTGTAAGCTATCAACCCAACCATAATATAGGTTCCCTTTGAAGTTTATGTTTATAAATATAAATTTCAAATACATTGTTATAATTTTTTTAGAGTTCACTACATTATTTTAGGTCAGGTCTGGTTCAGATATGACTAAGCTATTGTACAAAAGTAGCAGACGGTAGATGAGTTTAATGACCAAGAGCTATATGACCAAGTCATTCACTTTCTTTCTCTGATTAAACTCGATTTCTGCCATTATTCCCTCGTCGTCTTCTTGTTTTGTCCTCTCACTGATACCAAGTTGTAGCCTGGCGTTGTGGTTTTCTGAATTTGTCTTGCGCTTCTCAAGTGCCTTGTGTGATGGATTTGTTTGTCTTTTTGCAGGGTTTAACTACATCATTTATCCATCTCTTTCTTGTTTTCCCCTGATGTTCTGCTGTAAATAGTCTCATATGCAGTTTTGTCTGGCTGTATTCTCATTAGATGGCCGAATATTTCATTCCTTGTCCGTCAGTAGAATCCAGACATGGCCCTTTTTTCAGCTTTCTCTCTAATGCTGATATTTTTTACCTCGTCCATTTTAGAGTTGTTTATAGCCTTGCTGAGACAGCTCATTTCACTTGTGATCATTTTTTTATGCCCTACTCATTGTTCATGTTTGGCACTGATAGCATACAGTAGGAATTAATTATTTCCCTCTCTTCCAAATTTCATCGTTTCATAATGTGCATAGTGCTCTTCTCATAATTTTGTGTATGCTTATTGGTTGTCCTGTGTTATAGAGCAGCCGAGTTTTTTGTGTGTGTGTGTGTGTGTGGGAGTGGGGGGGATGGTGGCGAAAGAGAAAGAGAGAGGTGGGGGGGGGGGGGGGTATATAATGTTACATGTTTGTTTTGTTAAGAAGATTTTAATACTTTTATTTTGTTTACTTCCCAGTAAAATGTGCGCATGGTCAGATAGACATTCTCTTCCTTATTGACGCCTCATCCAACGTTGACGCCCAAGTTTTCAACCAAGAGCTTGGCGTTTCTGCAAACCTAGCTGAAAATTTCCCTATCGGCCCAGAAGCCGCCCAGTTCAGCGCCGTTACGTTTGCAGACAATCCTCATTATCTCTTTGATTTTAACACCTTCACTAACTTTTCCACATTTGAAGCAGTAAGTACCCATTTTGCTTACTGTATACAAAGTCGAGTTAAAGTTGCGCAGATTTAATTCATTCTAATTCTTGAACAAATTGTCTTTGTTAAGCAAGATGTCACTGTAATATTATTAACTAAAAAGTAATTTACCAGGCATTTACTTTCTATACCAACCACGAGTTGCTTTTTTTTTTAAAAATACTATATCCCTCATCCAGCTGATACATCAGCCCATTATATCCAATTGTCAACATTAACCCATTTTATCCCATTGTCAACATTAACCCATTTTATCCTATTCCAAACCTATTTGCCTCACCGCCAGCTTTTCAATTTAAAAAGCGCTTAGTGCCCCCTTTTCTTGGAAATATCATCATCAGATACCATGTTGATGAGCACAGACTGTCAAAAATTCGCCATCCTTTAAGACTACACAAACATCACGGATCATGTCAGTGTTCTTGTCCCGCCCTATGGGTGTAGCCAAGACATCAAGGTATTTATCTCTTTGCTTCTCTCTGCCCTCTTTGTATCAGTATTGCTTGATGTCATCAAGTTCTCGAGTTTATACCCTGCCTTGAAATATACCTCTTGTAACTGAACATATAGAATAATGCAGTGCATGTTTTTTGGTCTTTCTCCCTTATTTTTACAACATGCTGTGGTCTGTAGTTTGTATAGTCCCCCGGCGATCCTCAGCCGAGTGGTAGCACTTTGTGTCACCGGGTTTTTGTCGCTCGGCGTCATGTCTTGGTAGTGTTGAACGACGTCATCATTATGATTGTAATTTTGTTTCCCTTAAATTTGCAGGCAATTCTTCAGGCCCAGTATCTCTCAGGAAGTCCAAATACATTTCTGGCTTTGGAGAACAGCAAAGATCTCTTCTTTGGAGGCCATGGTGCTCGAGGAAATGCTGCTAAGGTGGCGCTGCTTTTCAGCAGCGGTAAGTCAGCAGATCCGGCCAGGACTCAACAGCAGGCTGCTGTGCTAAAGGGCTATGGCGTTTTTATAATTGCTGTTGCCGTGTCCAAAGTCACTGGTGCAGAACTACCGACAGTGTCTTCATCCCATGAAGTCTTCCAGATCAACGACTTTGATGGTATCTTGCATGCACTGCAAGATTATTCAAAGACAGCCTGTAATCAAGGTAATTGAAACAGTTTCGATTTTTGAGTAAACGAGAGATACTGGTTAAGTAATGGGAAGGTAAAGGCCCGTTAACACACCAGTGGCTCGTCGAGCATTGGAGACTTGACTTATATTTTGTAGACTACGAACAGGACACTGCAGATTCAACTAACACTGCATGAAAAAAAAGACTGTACAGTTCCCACAGTGTGCCTGTCAGACAGGACCACAAACACCTGAGCACATTCTGCAGACCTGCCCACTCTACCTACAACTTCGAAAAAACACCTGGACTCAAAAGCAAAGTATGCAGAGCAAGATATAGGGACCCACGAAGAACTTGCAGCTGACATGCGAGTTCACAGAGGCAACCCACCTGAGCATATGAAAACGAACGCAAAAAAAGAAGAAGGTATTTTATAGTCTAAATTTCATAGACCAAAAGTAGCTAAACTAACCATTTGAAAACTAAGTGAAAGTAGGACTAACGAACTGAAGAAAACATAATGTGTCGGTCGAATCAACTCAGCGGTAGAAGATCAAATCATCAGCGAGTGATATGGTAAACATAACACTAGCCTTCTTTACTTCCTATGACTTGTACCTAGTACCAATTTAAGGCTGGGTCGACCTGGGGGCACCCAACAAATTTAGCCACTATGCGGATTTGAACCCACCTAGGGTCTAACCCCTACGCCATGGCAGTTCCTTCGAGATACTGATTACTAACTTCAAAATTGTCATCATACCGGACCGGACATACCTACAGTTGCTCCGTCTCCCGCAACAAATATCTCAGCAGTGTAATGTTGACTGCTCCATTAGCCCGCTGGTTGTGTTAGGCATGCTGCAACCAATAAGTTTTTGGCGGGCATTATTTTCAGCTTGACAAATCTCTAGTGGCGGGATTCAAGGGGCTTAAGCACCTTGTCGGTCTACTGGCAAGACTTTGACCTGGCTGTTTCGAGATACTAATCACCATCATCACAAATTCTCTTTCTATCTAGTGGCGCATGAGGCTTCAGAAAGGACTTTCCATGCTTTTCTGTCCTGTCAAATCTTAAGTGCAGTTTTCAATGTCAGAAATACCGCACTCAAGTCACTTTCCATCGTTCGTCTCCATGTTGTTTTTTGACGTCCCTTTTTTTCTCTTTCCCTCTGATATCCGTGTGAGAACTGTTTTAGCAGGTAAATCAGGACCGAGATACTAAGCTAGGTGATTTTGTATTTGTATGGTATTTGATTTACGTATGTGCTGATGAAGGTTTCATAGTCGCAGCGTTTACGTTTATTTTTTTTTTTTTTTTGGGTGTGTGTTTGTTATATTGTGAAGCTTGCTGATATACTTTTCGTTCGGTTTCGTATCTTTTCTTATGCCTTGTTAAAATGCGAAGTGGGCAATAAAAATAATTATCATGTGCTGTTTGGCAAAAAAAAAAAACAACAAATTTGAAATATTATTATATTATATTATATTATTATATAGCTGGTCCTTTGCTGATTTTGGCTCTCATCACGGTCTGCCTGAAAGAAACTCGGTCTCTCGCCAGGTCTCCCGCTTCGTGCTTTCCTATGATATCCCTTATATATTGTGCTCACCTTCGTGATGGTCACTCCCTGCCTTTATTTTCTGCCACCATGATTTCTGCTATTATTCTTTTCCAATCCGCCATGGTGCTTGATGAAGCCAAAATAATTTACTTTCCGAGGCAAGATGTTGTTAGAATTAGCCAAACCAGTAAATACCGTTGAAATGCGAATATTTTCGAATGTTTCTATTTGTTATATTTCTAGCTCCTTGCATCAATGGGACTCTTGATCTTCTCTACATGTTCGACTCATCTTTCAGCGTCACGGTTGAAGACTTCAACTCTGGCCTGAGATTCGCAGCGAATCTTGCTGAAAACTTTCATATTGGCATGGACGGCTTCAGTTCGGCGTTATGTCTTTTGCCTCCAGTACACATCGAGTATTTAATTTCACGACATTTTCCAGTTACGCAGATCTGCAGAAGGTATGTTTTTTGGTAAAGTGACCATAAAATCTTGCCTGAAAACAGGACATCCCACTAATATTTTGAGCTAAAAACTGGACTTCTAAGAAGGTATGTTTAAACTCACCCTCATTATTCCAGGTCATCGGAATAAAGGGTTAACTATTCGCTCGATAATATTTTTAAAACCAAAACCACTCTCGCCAAGAAAAAAGCGAAACAATATACCCTTTAGCCGAACTGGAGATAGGAAGGGGTGGGTGTGGGGGGGGGGGGGGGGTGGACATGTGACAATAAATATTCCCATCAAAATATTTCAGGTGAAAAAGAAAAAACCGTGTCTAAAACTAAGATATATAATAATGTCTACGGTATATAGTTAGCTGTTCGTTCTATTCTCGAGTAAATCACTAGATTTTTTATAAAACAGGACCATTGGCGTATTTCCGGAGTCCCGTAGGGATAGTCAGGGCACATGTGAAAAAACAGGATTATCCCTGCGAAAACTAGGACGTATGGTCACCCTATTTTTTAGTAAAAGCTCACTAGAAATGTGAAATATCTTCCTTAAAAATGAATTTCTATATGATATTGTAACTCAAAGATTATACCAAAGCTGAAATTAAAAGTTATATGGGCTGACAACTATGACGTTGAAACCTCTATTAATGACCAAAGTTGCAGAGTAAACCCCTTTATATCATCGGGTTTTATTTGTCCACATGGCTAGGTTTCTCTCCCCTAGCCGCCTGCCAGAGAGGCGCACACAGCACGGAGTCCGCAGCTCCAGCAACGATCCAAGAGGATCTCCGTGAAAAAACATACACATATTATATATATATATATATATATATCATAGCAGAGTCCTGTACGTTCAATTGTTGTTCTTGCATCACTCAAGCTGCTTAGCTTAATGCTGACCATATTACCCACCTAGTGCGTTGGTCTGTAAAAATATGAGTGCTCTTTCCAGGTGCCCGATGCGCCTACAGGCGAGAAAAAGGATTTTTCCTTTTTTTTTTTTAAACTTGACTTTTGTGCTTTGGGCTAAAGGGTTAGACTTAAATGTTACAGATCAAACAACAGTTGACAGTACTCACCCCAAAGTTCAGGTCCTGGCGGAATCGGATCTTTCTTTTCGGAAATTATCTTGGCTTCAGGTCGACCCAGCTTTGAGTTTTTAAAAATCCCTTGGCAGTTGGAAATCGACAAAAGTAGCCTGACCGAGCTGCCCGGGCACAATTTGGAGGTAAAAATCTACCTAAAATATTTTAGGATCCTCACCGGTGCTACGGATCCCGTGCACTTCGCTGAGCTACTTCGAACTCAGACTTGAGATAGAAGTAAAACAGAGCACTTATGGGTTACTACCTGTGTGCAATGATGTTGATTTGTTATTTAAACCTTGTCATAGTGCTATTAAAGTATTCGTTTATACATATCATATTATTTTTAAAATAATGTTATATTTATTTGCTGTTCAGTACATAAAAATAAAGAACTCAAGAACTCATCTCCCCCCCCCCCCCCCCCCCCTAATTCCGCCGAGATTACTCGGAGCGGTGAGTCAACACTGGTGGTTGATGTGGTCTTATGAAACTGTTTAGGGTTTAGGATGGCGACATCCCGACCATCTCTGTGATGGGTGATCAAACTGTTTAATATTCCCCCTCTGAAGGTTGTGGTTTTCGTTTCTCAGTCGCGTCTTTCAGTGGAGCAGTCAGTGTTAACGGAGATCCTTGTAGATCATCGCTGAAGCTACACAGTTTGTGATTTGTGTGACACCTTTGGCAGGCAGCTGGACGTTCTACACACACACACACAGAGAGAGAGAGAGAGAGAGAGAGAGAAAAGAAAGAGAGAGAGAGAGGGGGAGAGATAGAGAGAGAGGGAGAGAGAGAGAGATAGAGAGAGAGAAAAGATAGAGAGTGAGAGGGAGAGAGCGAGAGGGAGAGAGAAGAGAGAGATAGAGAGAGAGAGAAAGAGAGAGAGAGAGAGAGAGAGAGAGAGAGAGAGAATGAGCCAAATAGGATAAAATCACGTGCAATCCTCTCAACTTTACCTTTAATAGTTGAATTAAACACTGCTTAGGCTTTTTGAAGGCGGCCACCCCACTCCCCGCACGATATGTTTTTTTTTTTCTTTTTCGCCAGAGCACCTACTTTGAGTACTTCAGCCAAATACGTTGAATTCATTTATTAATGAAACAAACGGTACACATTCTGCGTTCACTGATTTAACTATAATTATTTATTTGCTTGCATTTTACAGGTAATCTTGAACATTACCTACCAGGCTGGAAACACCAATACTCCGCTTGCTTTGGAAGATAGCAGAAACTTCTTTGGAGCCAACCAAGGTGCTCGAGCTGGTGCTCCTAAAGTAGCACTCGTGTTTACCAGTGGCAAGTCGGGTGACTATGTGAAAACGGCCGCACAGGCATCAGCACTCAAGCAAACCGGTGTGCACGTTTTATCTGTAGGGTATCCAGGTGCTAACATTCAAGAGCTGCAGACAATAGCTTCAGACCCAAGTTCTGTCTTTACCATCGATCATTTTGCCAGTGTTTTGACGGCACTTCAAGACTACAGCAATAATGCATGTAATAAGGGCGTATAATGTTACCATATCTGCTCAAAGTAATAGTGCATGAGCTGTCAATAAGTGACAGTCCCAAACCCATTTTGGATCAGTGAACTTGAGATGGTCCTTAAAAAAACGCCGAATTTATTTCTCATAAAACGATTGGTAGCTATGTTTGCCTAGATCAACAGGAAGCCCACGGTGTTACTGAAAATATTCTATCCCACCCCCACACGTAAAAGCTTTTCATGCCGACAGGCGTAAGATGCATAGTTTCAGGGCCAGCGACAAATTCCTTCATTGAAATGTGTTTCTTCTGGATTGATTAAATATGTTCATTTTCAATATTTTTTATTCAGTTCATTTGCATTTTCTTTATATCTATATAATTTACGAGTTTAGTTACTTGTTATAAAACTAAGAATACTTTCACTCCTATGTAT